AGAAGAGAGAAATCTTTATCTGAATTAAAGTTCTGGCCAGTGTCAAATATTGCTGCTGCAAGTCAGATGTGAGAGAATCACATGTATTAATTCACAAGAACCAGGAACATTTCCCACCCTGACCCCCCCCAGGTGAGATGGCACGATTCATCCATGGATTCTCCTAGATCTGCCTGCTTCACCCACCTTTTCCTTTGCTGGGGACATGAAAATTCAAAGTGTCCATAAAGACACTATGGAATTTCTGGCCTCCTCCATCACAAATTCTAATCCAAAAGATAGAACATGCTGTGCGGAGCCCATTTAAGTGGAGGGAAAAGCCTTGTATTAGATTCAAACAAATACAGTACCATCAGTAGTTGTTAGTGCACTTTTCTTCCTGCTCTTTGACAGAGGACAACAGAATGGCTTTCCCCAATTCAAGCCTCGGTTTTGAATCACTTGTGAGTTGCTCAATTTCTGTGCTAGATGCAGCTCTTTCCCAACTTGATGGGAGAAGACTGGTCAGCAGTGGTCACCATAGTACTGGTGCACTCTTTGGAAAACCAACTGGCAGACAGAGGACTGTTTACACCTTTTCCTCCAATGCTGCTGAATGAATTGTTGTTTAGTCGAAATATGTAGCCCTCGAGAACTGCTTGCAGAAGAGTAGGAGACACTGGGATTACTCCTTGCAAGCACATTAAGCACACAGCATGTATTTTCAAAAGCTCCTTGGAAAGCTAATGAAGACCAGAGCAGAGAGCTCCCAAAAAGTACTTTCATAAATTGCAGCTGCTGCATAACTAAGTGTTAAGGCAGCTGTCAAGGACAGAACCATGCAGGAACCTTTGATGATAAAGCAACTTATTTCTGAAGAACTGCTGCTGGGTCTCTTCCTGCCTGCAGCAGATGTGGAGCTAATGCAATGGATCCAGCTCCAGGCCTGCAGCAGCCAGGGGTGGGGAGTGGCAGCTTCAATGCATGTTGCATAGAGGGATCCCACTCCTCTGCAGAGTCTGGAGCTGTGCTGGGTTGGGAGAAGCCTGTGCCCAGGGAACTGAGGAGAAAAGGAGACCTGAGACCCTACTCAGAATGAGCCCCTCCCTTCCCCATAAGTGGGAAGGAAGCCACCTGGAAGTCAGCCCTTCAGGTAGGATGAGAGCCTGCTTGAGTGGCTCCAGCAGCTGTTGCTCTTCGAGCTAGGAAAGACTAGAAGCAGCCAAAGCTGTTTTTTCAATGCAGTGTTTATTCAAGTGGCTGCAGCAATTCTGCCAAGTACAAGAGCCAATACAAGCATACCTCTTTTCCCTGCAACCTGGGTGGCACACACTGGAAAACAGGCTGCAAACACCAGATTAGATCAACACAAAGCCAACAGCAGTCACACCAGAAGGCATGTTCTTTAGGACCAGAGAAGCTTTGAATTAGTAAAACACCAACAGCCCAGCCAAGTTGAGGGGAAGGGAAGGAAAGGAAAGCCTGTTCTGGGGAACCCAGGCAAGCTAGCAGGTTATTGGGGTAAGTATCTGCACAGTCAGACAGAGGCCCACCCCACCTTCACTGTCTGAATGAACACACACACAAAAAAAAAAAAAAAAAAAAAAAAAAAAAACCCACCCCCACACAAACAAAAACCCTCAACAAAAACTGGGTTCTCCTTCCATAGGAATTGCCCATAGTGGGGAGGGTTCACCACTTCAGAGCTCCACCTTCCCTTCCCCTGCAGGTTCCTCCACTTTCCCCTCTGCAACAGGCTCTTCCACCTGCTCTGCAGAGCCTCCAGCAGGAGCAAAAGGCCCCACAACCCAGGTAAGAGGGATGTTCCTAGCCACATACTCCAGCAGATCATCCAGGCACTCCTGGGCCTTGGCCAGCTTCTCCCTGCTCTGGCTCAGCAGTGGACCTGCTCCTGCACACTGGTTGGCAGCCCCTGGATGCTAGGCACCAGGCTCTGGCAGGCATCATGCACATGCTGGAGGAGGGTCTGGGCAGTAGACAGAGCCTGGGAGCCCATTTCCTGCAGGGAGACAGAGCAGGGAGTGAAAGGAGGCTCCCTAGGGGCAAGACTTGCCCCAGAGCATGGCCAGGGCTGTGCACCTGCTCTGGAACAGCCTACCTCAGGCTGTGGGGTGCTGTCCGCTTCATGGCTTCCTGGCTGAGCTTGGCGCCACTCCAGCCACAGCTGCTTCAACTTCTCCCGGCTGTCGTGCACTGTCTGATCCCCAGTCTGCTTGGCAGAGCCAATCTAGGGCATGTGGGAACACAGGTCAGCACAGAATAAGATGCCCTGGATAGTCTCTCTAGTCTGGCACTGGGGCCCATAAATGCCTACTAGAAGAAGTGCCAGGGCAGCAGCATTCCTGGGTTCCATAGGAAGTCAAGCACTGCCTTGGGCTGCAGGCTCAGGAGGCCATCTCAAAATCAGGTAGGCTGAGGGTAGGGAGAGGCAGGGAAGGAAAGGGTACTTGCCACCTTATTCTCCCCCCCACCCCCAATTAAAAAAAGAAAAAAAAACCACCAGGTTGCCTACACTAGACTACTTCCCCACCCCCAAAACTGGTATATTTTTCTAGGCACATGCCCAGGCTGGCCAGCTTCTGCTGGAACTGCAGTGCCTTGGGCTGCTGGAGCCAGGGTTACTCCAGGAAGAGAGCCTTACCAGGTCTACAGCTTGCTGCAGCTGGGCCAGGGCCTCCAGGGTGCTCTGTCTGGCACGCCTCATCTTGCCCAGGGAGTGCTGGTAGGCTCGCTGCTGCAGGCTGGTCGAGAGGGAGCCCAAGCGCACATAGTAGCTCTGCTGCTGCTTCTGCTGAGCCACCTCTGCCCCCTCCACAGAGGTGGCAAGTGCAGCTGGAAGACAGGAGAGACCAGCCCCAGTAAGTGGGGAGCAGCCAGGACCAGCAGACTCAGGCAGGCAGGAGTTAGGGCTGGGCAAGGAGCAAGAGCCCGAAGAAAGGAGCTTCTGGGGACAGCGAGTCAGTGAGAGGGTAGGTATGGCACAGGTGCCTTGTACCCCAAGGGAAACCAGGAATTGAGGGGTGAATTGGAGTGTCTCCAGAGAGCACCAACACAGCCTCCCTTCTTTCCACCTGGAGAGCCTGTGGGGGAAACTGTGCAGTTCTACCCAAGCCCCATCATGCGAGAGTGCTTCATCCTGCCCCTGCAACCATCAAGGTGCCCAGATGGTGGAGATCAGGAACCACTAAGGGCCTCCAGACATTGCGCACCAGAGACAGCCTGGTCACAGGCTGGGGCAGCCTGCACCAGGACCCCCCAGCCTAGTATTTGTGAACATGCAGTGCTGCACTGGAACAAATGTGTACATTCTAGTGCAGCAAGAGGGATCCTGCACTGCAGCAGCCTGGCTAATACAGCTCTGCCATCAGGCACCTCTACTGTATGAAAAGGCATCAGGTAGGAGCCAACACAGCTCATTAGATGGCCATGCTCCTGGCATGGGGGGGGGAAGAGGAGGAGAAGGCGCAGCAGCAGCACCACCACATAAGAGACGCACACAGACACAGAAAGGGGCTTATTCTAAGTGACTACAGGAGCAGGCAACCAAGTTGAAGCCATCAGGTGCCATCATGCCAGGGAGATCACTGCACCGTATCAACTCCTTACCCAGCTCCTCATCCGTCACAGGGAGGTAGTGGTCCACCCACTGCTCAGACTTCCCCAGCACCACATCCAGGCTACTTGCAACCTCCTGGCCCAAGGATGAGCCCATTATGGCATCCATGCTGCTGCTCACTGCAGATCTCTTCATCTCCACGCCCTCCTGGACAGCCCCTTTGGCCACATCCACCATACTGGATGCTGCAGCCTTGGCCCCAGTGACTGGGCCACAGACTGCATCCTTGGTCCCTTCAACTGCAGTAGCCACCAGATCCTTGGTCTCTGCAGGCACCTAGGAGGGAGGGAGAGAAGAAATTTATGTCAATATTTGAGACACGTGGTAGTATGGGGAGGAAAGCAGAACCTGGGACAGGCTACTCCTCCCAGGGTTTGCACCTGGCTTTAAGACATTTCCAAGACAGCAGTCACCATTCACCTCTCCACTGCCTCCTCATGGAGGTCTTGCCCCTGGGAAGAAAGCCCCACAGCCCAGGTAAGAACCCTCACTTGGGTCTCAGCCATCTCACACAGAGTCAGGGACCCTCTGGCCTACAAGAGGTGCTGCTGCCTCCATGCCACAGGCAAACCACCTAGCCTACTGCAATCGGGGGGGGGAGAAAGAAGGTGTACAGGGGGGGGGAAAAAAAAAAAAAAAAAAAAAAAAAAAAAGCAAAAAAAAAAACCCCCCAAAAAAAAAAAAAAACCACCCCAGCCCCTGCCTAATTGGAGCTCTCTCAGAAGTGTTTGTGTCGCTTGCTCTCCCACCATCATCTCCTTAAAGCTCCACTGGTTCCATGTTCATCATTATTTGCAGCAAGTGCATCACCAGTTTGCCCCCTGCTCCACATCCCTGGGGTAGGCACAGTCCAGTTCCAGCAGTACACCAACTGCCTTGAGCTCCCAGAGCCAAACTTAGCTGCTCCACCCTGTGTACATGCCCTAGCTGCCACCCAACACCCCTCCCATATGCAGCCTCAGCCCTGCAGGATGCACCTACCTGCTGCTCCTGTACCTGGGGCTCAGGGATGGCAGCCTGGGGGTCACTCTCCTTGGAGGCCATGGCAGGGGAATAGAGTTACTGAGAAGCAGGAAAGAAGAGGGAGGAGCTCAGCAGACTGCACTGTCTTCTGCCCCAGAGGCTGCAACCCCCACATGACAAAGTCCTGCAGGATCCTGGGTAGAGGCAGCTTCCATTGAAAGGAGAAGAGCCATTCTGTGTGCGCACACTCTGCTACAGGCAAGGAAACCTTGCGCTTATGCAGGAGCTATAGGAGAGCCACTCCACCCAAGTACTCACTTAACCCAGGCACACCAGGGTCCTTGGCCATGCAACCATGTGTCTGGGCCACTGCCACATTGGTAAGCAGGTGTCTGCATCCTGCCAAGCCCTGGAGCCAGGTTAATCATGAGCCCCACATGGGGAAGCTCAAGGACAGCATCCTGCCAAATGGGTGCAAGGGCAAGGTCAGACTGACAGACTATACTGTGCCTCTGTATTTGGCAGAGGAGGGGTTTGGGTCACTGTCCACCCCCACATGCACTGCCATAGAGCAACAAGAGAAGGGACTAGCCATACCAAGGCTGGAGTGATGGATGGAGCCAGTCTACTGCCAGCTCCCCTTGGCTCCAGGTGGCCCCTCTTCTCCATCAG